CCCCCCCCCCCATCATTATAATTCATAATACTAGCTTCATCTGCTCTAACAAACTAGCTTGGTAATAGATCATGTATTTTTAGAGTCCCATCTAATAAATTTAATTGTTGTTACCATTTTCACGGTAAACAGGTTGTTTTCCTATGCTTGCGATATTGTGAGATTCTCCCTCTATAAAGTCAATATGCTTTATCATTGTGTCTCTTTCTATTTATAGAGAGTATGTTCCTAAAAACCTTACTAAAATATAGGTGCAGAAAATATCCACTAGAATATTCTCTTTTGTGTCCTATCTTAAAACTAGCCGTTATAACTCTGTCTAAGATGCTCGACCTCGACCTTGATCTTTGCTGATCCTTCAACCGCACCCTTAATCGTTTCGAGACTACTTTGACCTGGGGCAGATCTTTGTTGATACCTCACTGATATATAGCACGTGGCAGCCGATGAAGGCTATCATGGTGCTGACATGGCTTGCCTATAAAAAAGATTTTTTTTGGCCCATACACTAGCAATGTTAAAAAACTTAAAAATGCCAACTGTAATTTGATAGGCTGGATGTTTCTAACGCATTACTGCCTTAGGGTATATTGCTCCTTGGCTAATAGTGTAAGAGTTGATGAGTAATGTTCTATAAAGCAAAGGTTATTTCATCACTTTAGTACACTTTCCACTAACTAACTTCTTTTGTCAGTCCAAACATTATATTGCAAAAGCTTCATTAACAAAAACCAACAACTAAGCTTCATTTTCTTTTCCATACAACTCGTCAATTTTTGTACAGTTATTAAGGATACATCACTAAAAGCTAAATTCAATTTCAACATCAACAGAAGGCAGTACTAAAATAGCTCTTAACAACATCATTACACAGTATTTGCAGCAGTGTGCTATTGTTTGGACCAACACATCTTGGGGTCTTGAACTGGCTAACAGCACCTCCTAATCCAACAAAATGATCTAATATCTTATGGAATGTCCCTCTCTTCACAACTCTAAGCTCAAGTGCTCCAATGGCATTAGCCTTCCGAGAACCCAGGTAGCCTGCATCGACGAACGATTTATCCAAACAATTGCAGCATTCTTGCAATGTTTCATCACTTGCTTCACCACAGAGTTCCCAGAAAACCACGTAGTGCCCTGGATCAGCTGCAACATTGACGTGGCTCGTGAAATCGACTACCTCTGACTTTTCATCTACTAAGAGCTTAGCTGCTGCTTCCACCGCTAGCTGTAAATCTTTCTCAGTGTTCTTGTCAATATTAATGCTTAGCAAAAGATTTCTACGGCAAATGAACTGTAGTTCTGGTGTGGCGTTGTGGAATCCTTTTATTTTCACAACATCACCGAGTCTGTAACGATACAACCCTGCACATTACATGTACAAATAAATTGTTCAAATTTTGGCCAATACTGGAAAAAATCAAGAATTAAAAGCCATGAAAAAAGATGAAACTCGTAACTACTTTTCCTTCAAAGTCACACTCCTCTTCTTTATAGGTAACAAATTAATAAAATTGCTCTCAACGGTAATCACCTACTCTTAGTAGAATACATAGAGTAAGACAAAAGATAGACGAAGTAACGTGCATTAATAAATGTATTAACTACAAGTGATGAAGTAAACAAATATTTGAAGGCAGAATGCAGTACTATTTTAAACTTTCTATTCCTTCAAGAAGTGTAAAATATTAAGTACTAGTAATTAATTTAGCACTTCTCTCGATAATAAACCTGCTTAACAACAATGAGGAAGAGGTCAAGAGAATATGAACGGCATCCACATGCAGGCACAACTCTGTACAGCGAAAAATGAGCAGGTCTTCATGTATATAGTAAAAAGTTTCTAAAACTATACTTTTATATTAAGCTACCACTTCTCATATAATGATTTTTCCTGAAATAGTTCCAGTAAACGGACACCAAGTGTGAGCTACCACTTCTCAAATATAAAATCTCCGTACTAAAATTAAAAAAGTAGTAGATGAAAAATATAATTTATAAAGAGTAACTACCAACTGTATCTTAAATGAACTATATCATGGTGCGCAATAAATATTTCAGTAAGTGTCAGGCTCTGGACCTATTAGTGACCCTTACATGACTCAATAATGGTATCATGATAACAAAATTATGTTTGCATCATAAATGCATAGAAGTCACTGACAAAAAACTAGTTTGGTCAAATAGAGAGAGTAGGAGGAAGCAAAATAGTACCTGCAAAATTGGTGACAACAATTTCGTACTCTTCACCAAGTTTAACTTCAGCAAGACTCACTGGTGTAGGCTCAAGGCCGTCTAAATCCCCCCTAAGAGGAATGAATTCAAAATAACCAATATTAGGAAGCACAGTATAAGTAACTTGTTCAGGGGGCAACTTAGGATTGACATTTGCTCCAATCCATCCTTCAGATGACCCATAGTCTGCACTTTGTAATGGTAGCTCCCCAGCATAATGCCTCAATTTCTTGAGGTAAGGTTCCATGGAACCCGTCATGATTCCGTATATGTACTTGGCATTTGGGAAGAGTACAGGAATCAAACCATACCAATTGCTTAATCCAGAACACTTTCTAAAAATGATATCAGCCTGTTCTGGATCAGGTTTCAGCAATTTAGACATTGCTGATCTCGTGGAAGGGACCGTGATTCGGCTAGACAGGACTCCTTCTCTTATGTCTGCAACAAGTTCTTCCCACACTTGTTCGAAAGTTCTAAAAGCTTGGACAATGCTGTGAGCAAATGTAGAGGAGATAACTTGCACTTCGTCTCGAAAAATGAGGCCACACAAAAGATGACAGTATAAAGATTGGTGAAAATCAGGACCGAATATAACTTCGTCAGGGCTACAACATGGAGTTTGCATTGCCTTCATTGTTTTCTTGAATTGTGCATTACGATATACATTGGTAGTTGCAGTTCCAGCTGCTAAACCTCCCTTTGTCTTGAACTGTTTGCTGCTGTAAATGAACTGCAAAGCTTTCCCATTCCCAATTGGGAATTCTCTACACAAAAATACAAAGAGTAATTTTAAAAAAAGAGAAATAATTAGTCATAACATTAAGCAAAGCAACAAGAAACGAACAAGTACAAATTACTGATAAAAGGAACATGGCGTCCTATTTTCTCAAACAATTTTCCTTCTGCTGTTACCAGAAAATGTGACAGAAGTTAGGAATCTGTCCCCACATATTTTAATCATGTGAAATTTTTACCCTTCAGGATGAAACTCTAATTACCAGTACTAAGAAAAAAAAGTAGTATTTTCTCCATTTCAATTTATAAGACACACTTTGATTCGGTGCGGAGTTTAAATTTTTTTTTTTTGAAACTTATGGTCTTTAAATCATAAAGGATAAAGCTTTGTGGGGCTATTTATGTGACTAAAAAAGCTTGACAAGGTAAAATAGGTAAAATAGAAAATTTAAAGTTAAATTATTTCTAAATGCAGATATAAATCATTTTTTTTTAGAATAGACTAATAAGGAAAATGTGTCAATAAATTGAAATGAGATAGCCAATAACAGAAAGTTGTGAATTATAGGACTCCAGGTGGACAGACAAGGTGAAAACCAAAATGAATTCATTTTCAAGAAGATGTTGGAGTGTTGTTACTAGAAGGAAAAGAACAAAAATAATGAAAAACAAAATTTCCTGAATCAGCCCCACTTTTCAGACAGTAACAAGAAGCAAAAATGGAAAAAGACACCACGTATGACAAATGACACAGCAAAGCATTATTAAGGTACTACACCAAAACTACATTACCGATTCCTAAAGGCAAAAGATGTTTTGTATATCTGCAACGTGGATTCCATCAATTCATCATTGAAAGGTACAAACTTTGGCCTTCCCTGTGTTGTACCCGAACTGCAACCAAAAAAAATTCTGTTAAACTTTCTAAAAATTGGCAACTTCACGGAGTATATTATAACGTAACACGAAAATCGATTCCGAGAAAATTTTTACTTTTACAGTGAATATCTGTTATACAAGGATGTTGATAGAGAGATGATGGATGACAGTTTGTGAATAAGGTGCAATATTGGTCCATAAAATGGAGAAAATAGTTAAGATCTGATACCTTAATGAGATGGTTGTAATGGGTTTTCCAGTGAGAACAGGGGAAGGATCCCCATCAGCAATTCTTTGAATGTAAGGCTCTAAATCTTTGTGAGTGACAAGAGGAACACAAGCTGTGAAAGACTCAGCGTCAGTTCTTCCATTTAGACCCCATTGCTGTAGATAAACTGTGCCTCCATTCTCTTTTAGAATCTTTTTAAGAGTCTCTTCTTGAACTTTACCAGCTTCTTTGGTCAACGCCTCAAATTCCTCAATTACTTCTTCTGGATTAAATTTCATCTCTGTCTTCTCCACCATCTTCACTGTCTCTTCCTGTAACAATCTGCAATGTTGTAACATAGCATAAATTAAGCTCCTTTAATCCCAAATTAGTGAGGGTTGACCACTTCCAAAAGAGAAAAGAAAAACCAATCAAAAAGAAGAAAAGGACAATTTCAATAGGGTAATATCAATCTATTAGTACTTGTTTAAGATTAATCATGAAGATTAACTTACTGTAAAATCAAGAATGTAACTTGAGGGAGACAGAAAGAGGGGGAAGAGGTGTAGTATGGGTATAGGGTAGAACACAAACAAGTTCAAAGTTGAGCAGGATTGGCCAATATAAAGGGTCATTCTGGTGCAGTAAGCTCCTGTTATGTACAGGGTTCGGGGAAGTATCGGACCACAAGAATTTATTTACACAGTCTTATCCCATATTTTTACAAGAGGCTATTTTTACGGTTGGAACATGTGACCTCCCGATCACATGGCAACAACCCCAATATGAAAAGGAGAAAGCTCATGGAAGCTGTTAAAGATTTTTTTTTTTGAATAATATAGAGCTCTCCTATATCCCAATCCCATGGACGGAAAATGGCACATCATTAACGTTGGTCCACTTGGTCAGCACTAGAACTTTGTCAAAAAAGACAAAAAATTTAAAATAAAATAAAATAAGAACACATCGAATTGATGTTCTGATAAAAGTCTCCATGGAATTTCGCAACTACATATCCAAAGACACAAAAAACAAGAAGATACACGTATGAAGGTGAAAAGTTAAGATAAAATGAAATGAAAGCAACTAACTGTACAACAACAATTAAAATTTCGTCTCAATCTCAAACTAGCTGAAATTAGTTACAAGAATCCTCTATATTCGTTCTGCTAGACTCAAATTGAACAAAATATGAATAATTTTTTTGTGGCATACATTAATTCCACTAGGAACATATGGAATTATCACCTACATGTATAATTAGTCACACGACATAACTTTTCGAAATAAGAAGGAAAATTGGAAGAAAAAAAAATAGAACCACGAGAATCACACCAACTCCAAAAGTTACTTAATGAAAGGTCCAGCAAAAGAATATGGAAAATATAGAGAAAGGGAAAAAGGGGTTTCAGAATCCAAGAAAAGCCAAAGAAGAATCAAAGAAAGTATATGACAATTATGAACTATCAAGACAAAAATCATTAAAAAGACAGAAGCAGCTAGCTCTCCGGCCAACAGCTCAAATTCCGACCAAAAAAGGGTCATAACAAACATGAAAAAAGACTATCTTTGCCGACCAAAAAAAGCAAAACAATCATATGGGTATTTCAAAACACAGTACCTGTAATATATGAACAGTGGCTAAAAATGAAAAAAAAGGGCTGCTCAAATCAGTGGGGAATTTAACGTAACGGTTTTCGTGATGGTATCAATCACTATATATGACAATACTCTGAAAGAAAAAGTAATTTTGAAGTTCGACGCTACAGAGCACTAGAGCTATGAGCAAGAGATAAGCACAAAATAACACGCCAGTGTATTCTTTTTGTGTATTTCCCCTCCTGTTTCTTTCTCTATTCTCTAGGAAATGATGCAAACAATGAGAGGAAATTAAGGACTCTGTGTAATATGACTGTGTGATGAGGTGTAACATTCTGTACGCTAGGAGAAAATATTTATAGATGGAGTGACGAAGAGAAAATGTCGTCCATCAAGGTTATGGTACAATGATAAGTATTCCGATTTCGAGTTCGAGCTCTGATTATTGAGCTGTGGTGGGTAGGAAAATCCCTTACTCCAACACTAATGAAACTTTTTGACGTGAATTTGAATTAGTTAGACACCGTAACATTAGATGTGAAACCCAAAAAATAATGTATATATATAGTCAATGGTGGGGCCGGGAGTTCTGTGTTTGCCGATCGATAATATTAATACCCATGAGGAGTGGAGGATATAGTGCTAACAACACTATAAATATTGGTGGGACTAAGAAAGATTTATACTCGCTCTATTTTAAAAAGATTGTCTTAGTTTAACTTGACACAAAGTTTTAATAAAGAAGGAAAGACTTTTAAGATATGTGATTTTAAATAAATTATAACATTTGTATGACTGTAAAACTTTTGAGACTTGTGATCAGGAATCTGTCATAACATCTGGGTGATTATAAATGCTTTCTATTAAGAAAATATCGAAAGCTGCCGATCTTTTTTAAACATATTTGAAATAGAGGTTTTTGAAATTGATGGAGTAATAATTTTGGATCTCACTTAAATCAAGTGGTCCTAATTAGTAACTCGTAAGCAGAGGTAGTCAGGTGGATACATAATTTTAAATTAGTATAGAATATTGTTTTGACGAGTGAGAGTTGTAATAGTTGATGAATATTTTTACCTCCGGTAAATTAAGTGTCCAAGTAAAGATATCGACTGAAGAGTAAAAAAGAGAAAGATGGTTACCTACTATTATTTGCACCAATTATAACCAGAGAATGATGAATTTGATAGAGTTCTACACAACTTGACTTAATATTCTAAATTCAGCTCCACACAAAAGGGATATAGTATGTATTATGAAGGGGAGATGCGAAATGGAATAATACAAAAGGGTGAAAGTGAGTAAAAGCACGTGTTTTAAATTGGATTTATTTGTTCATGACAATAAGCGAATATAGAGTAAATAAATATTTAAAGAAGTTCTTTCAATTATATATATGGCCTCGTCGACATCAATACAGTTAAACTTCTCTATAACAGCCTCGTTTGTTTCGATATTTTTTTGCTACTATAATAAAATGTTGTTATATAGAACATATATTATAACATAACATAAAAAATGGTTCCGCAAAAAACTTGGCTGTTATAGTAAATGGCTAGAGAGGTCTGACTGTATGTGTATATCTGTACAGTTTTCAATAGCCAATAGGACGCAGATCTAATCGTAATGTATGGTTTGATTTTTAAGTGAGTGTAGGACGTTGTTGCTCAATCAAATATTTTCGACTCCTGCTAATTAAAGAATATAAAGAAAATGAAAAAGGAAAAAATTATATTATATATACCGATAATGTAAAGATTTTTTACTCTATCAACAACGTTTAACTTGTTATAAAATAATAAAAGAACAAGAGCAATGTTGCAGAGAAAGAGAGAGGAAATTCTTATTGAATTTGGGATGAATTACAATGGAATAGAACCCTCTATTTATAGGGAGATGGTGGCTTAGCCACCAAGCAATGAACCCTAGAATCTCTCTAAATATAGACATTCACCATAAATATAATTGTATTTATAACACTCCCCCTTGAATGTCTATTCAACAGATAATGTGCCTCGTTAAAACCTTAACTAAAATAAAACCCAGTGGGAAAAAAATTCTAGAGAAGGAAAAAGAGTACACATATCTAATAATACGCATTTTGGTTGCCTCGTTAAAAACCTTGCAAGGAAAACCCGGTGGGACAAAACCTTGTAAGGGAAAAAGAGTACAACGCGTATTAACCCCCCCAGATGAGAACATCAATTCACATCCTTGAGCCTTCGCATCCCAATCTTGTACACTAGCTTCTTGAAGGTTGACGTTGGCAAAGATTTGGTGAATAAATCCGTCATATTAACTCCAATGAATATGTTGCACCTTGAAAATCCTCGCTATCATATTATCATGCTTATAGTTATAGCAAGATACATATGTGCACAAATTGCACTGAGGATGTAGTACTTCAAGATCAAGAATTGTATATGCTTCAAGCAATTTAAATCATTTGGGGATTGTCATATAAGTATAGTCAAATAAGTCATTTAAATAGACTTTAGATGCATATCAACTTTTCATGTCATGCTAGACATATAAGATAAATAAAAGTGATTGCACACACTATTGACTTTATACTTTCAAGTGTTTGAACTGCAGGTCCAAAACAACATGTCTTTCATATGAAACCAATTCTACTTGAATTGTTTCTATAGACATAAGATCCTCATATATATATTTAGCGCTATTATCAATGTCGTCAACAAACATTTTATATCGGTTCCAACCTCCTTATTTTTCATAAAGACATAACATAGAGATCTCTTCAGTCATATGTTCAGGTACCTGAATCTTTCATGAGATTTTATGAAGTGTTATGTCATGTGATCTTCTAGATCACTTGCCTCCTTTATTATGATCATTTTGATCATTTGCTCACCTTCTTTATCAAGAAGTTTATTTGAAACCAATCTATCTATACGCTTTAAGCGTACCATAGACTTTGTCCTTCTAGGACTTAATATGAGCATTTGCAATGAGAATATAGTTACTTTCTTTGGGTCAGCAAATGCGTCTGGCATGCTTTGCAATATATTGCACATGAATTATCCTTTATGAACTTCAAGTCCATATTATCTTATTCGAGGATCTAGATGTACAAATGATAATTCATTCCACGTAACTTTTTCTCAACTGCTTATCATGTCTCCCCCTCATGTTAGAAAAACTAACTTGTTTTCCTCAACTTTGAGAACCCATCTTTGTGCGTTATGGTGTTAATCAAAATATACACCGCACATCAATAATAATAATAAGATGAAATTATTTGGTTCCTGACCATGAACCACTTGTGAGGGGAGAAATTAATATACTTTCGTATATAACGTATATCAAACTGATATATAAAACTTTGTTCTCATAAGCAATTGTTTAGCTATTAAGTGGAGGCACTCAATAAATCATTTTGCTAAACCAGCTGTGATGTAGACCAACTTATCAAGATGAACTTCTTGAATAGAAATCTGGATATGCTCTAAATTAAATTATTGAGCAAGTTACCTCGCAAACACCATGTTGCGGGTTAATAATAATCGCACATGTAACCATCTCATAGATGCATCTTATGTGGTATACATGGCAGGTGAATGGGCCCATATTCACCTTTGATATTTCCAGCATTCATGGGATTCAATCCCAATTTTAGTTGGTATATTAATTAATGAGAATAGGCAACATAATAGAATTCGTAAAGAACTTTCTAGTTCTTTAATATTTACCCATGTGACTTCTCTTTTACTTTTGCACATCATACTTAAATTGATATGGGTAAACCAATTATGCCAACTGAATAAATTATCAATATTGATAAACTTCAGATTTACACCATGACGTATGCAATTATCAATAAACTCTAAGTTTATTATGATATGAGTTTTTATATCAATAAACTTCCTTTTATTGTGGCATTCTTTTGTTTGTGTAGTACAAACTGGAGAATAAATCCGGTAGCTTTTTACATACATATTATCCCGCTACAAGTTGTAGTAATAGATGATATTAAATCTTTCCTTTATTTATAGTCTCAACATAATCAATCGCTTTCGCGTATACTTTGGAAACTGAATAAGTTTCTTTGAGACTTACTACAACACAATACCTTATTGGTAATCAATTTTGTTTCTCCAAAATAGTATAATTGGCTCTTGTAGAGTTCTCAATTAATTTTGTAGTACCACATATTCATCAACATCCATATGGTGAATATCTCTTTTAAAGAGAAAGTTATACCATTATAGTCATGGTCAAAATTTTATGCAAGATCTGTTTCTTGCATTACTGTTATTCTTTAATAATGACATTACCAAATATTTTGGCGTACAATAGGTACGTGACCAATGACCATTCATGCCATAATAATGACATTGTTTTCTTATATCATCTCAAACCTCCTTCTAGAGGTGAGTGTGATATATACACTACCACTAGCACGTTCATATTCTTCCAAGAATGAATATATATTCATAAATAAGATGTTGTCACATTCACATCATGAATGGACCATAATCATCTATATGTGCTTTATAAAATCTCATGTCAAATCGATGACAAATATTACTTTCAGAGAGTGAAGGATTATTTTGAGAATCCTTATTATTCTCATTATCACAATGATGACGATTATAATTTCGTCTATTGCAACGTCCACATCCATTGATACCTTCATGGTAATAATTTTGTCTTCTTTCAGACTTATCACATATTGCTATCACATTCTCTTAAGGGAATGAGAATGGAGCAAATTCAATGGGACGGGTTTTCAATTCTTTGCCCACAATCATGGCAAGGGATAACTATTTTACCACTTTGGGTGGTTATAATTTCTTACTAACTCCAATAGAGTTATAATCAAATTTATTGTCTTTGCTCGTATTTAAAATCAAATTATAGAATGTCAAGAATATAAAAGAGAAAAATAAAGTAAAATACTTACCTTAAATCCAGAATTTAATCATGAAGGAAGTTCATGGAACAATTGACAACCATTATGCTCCATCCCAAAACTTCTACTCAATTGGTTAGAGTCTCGTGCTGATAACGTGTTATAAAATAATAAAAGAACAAGAGCAATGTTGCAGAGAAAGAGAGAGAGGAAATTCTTATTGAATTTGGGATGAATTACAATGGAATAGAACCCTCTATTTATAGGGAGATGGTGGCTTAGCCACCAAGCAATGAACCCTAGAATCTCTCTAAATATAGACATTCACCATAAATATAATTGTATTTATAACATAACTTATAATAATCCACTAATATTTGGTTACACAATCAATAAAGACTCCTTAAAATTATTTTCTGGCAATCATATATCAAAATAATTTATTTTCTTAAACACATAGTACTTTCCG